CAAATGGCATCTACAAGGAGTAATGAAAAGCTGGTTAATATCTCTTGGCACATGTGCGGATACATATGAACAAATTTGTAGCTTCCAGAGTATAACTAGAATAGATGGAAAGAACAAAAAGAACCACACAGCTGCCTCAGTAAATTTAACTATTGTCTTACTGTACTCATTTTCAGGAGCATTTTTGAAAATTACCTTCAAATAAATCATGAAGCATCCATAAGAATAATATAGTTAATAAAATACATCTTCAGGTTGTTTCCTATGCTGGGCATGAATAGAATTCTTTATTGGACAAGTATGATTAGACACACAAGGAGTTTTGTTCCAGTGTGTAAGCTCTCAGGGTACATTCAACAATCTACAACAGGGGTCCCCAAACTTGGCAACTTGAAGCTTGTGGACTTCAATTCCCAGAAGTTGAAGTGCACAAGTCTTAAAATTGCCTAGTTTGGAGACCTCTGATCTACAAGGAAATCTACTTGTTTCAAATTACAAACAGAGATCGCAGAGCACAACTCCTTTGGATTATCTCGACTTCCAAATCGCAGTCTTCCTGACCAGCCAGCTCTTCTGTTCTCAATTTACGCGGGGCTTTTGTGTCCCTCCCTACATCGGTTCTCCGCTGAGTTTCTAAAACAACTGAGGCATAGTTTTTGGGGATGATAGAATAGGAAACCTCTTGCAACGGGATAAATCTCCAAACTTGGCAACTTTAAGACTTCAACTCCCAGAATTCTCTAATGGATGAATTAATTAATATAGTTGGCTGGAGAATTCTGGGAGTTGAAGTCCACAAGTCTTAAAAGTTGCCAAGTTTGGGGACCCCCTGGGATAATGGCACCCCTAAAGATAAGCCGGCCTGCTGCATAATTGCCCAGCCGAACTAACCAAAAGCGTTCACCTCACACACGGCAAAACAAGATTAAATGAAAAGGGTAACTTCTAGAAATATTTTCTCTAAGAGGATGGAGGGAGCACTTCATCTCCCCCCCCCCGCCCACAAAAAAAGTAATTTCCGGGGGGGCGTCATAGAAAGGAAGCGAGTCGGGCTGGTCCTCCGACACGAAATAAAGTTCTCGCCCTTTAACAGTATTATTTCCGCGCCTGCCCCGAGCGTTTATTTTATCGCTAGGCAACGGTCGAATACCAACATAATTCGCTCTTCCAAATAAGCCACACGCGATTGGCTGAAGCAACCTGTCAATTTACCCCATCCTTGCTAAGCGATTGCTCGGTTTGGCTCCTACCCGTTTCTCCTTTAGAAGGCACCTTTCACACTCAACTCACTTTGACGGGCTTAGGCAAGATGGCGCCAGTCCGAGTTACAGTCATATTTCGTGAAGATAAAACTGTTGCTAAGGGCGCCTTTTGATTCTCGACGGGTCGCGACCTTGCCCAAGAGCCAGCCGTTGACCACAACCGCGAAGCCATCTCCTTCAGGCAGCTCCTCCCCTAGGAATCGGACACTTTCTCGATAGCCGGAACTAGCGGGAGTGGGCGGTGCTTTTTCAAACCTCGCGAGATATCAATAGGCGGAAGGAGAAACTATTTAAATCGCGGGTGTCTGAAAAGTTTGAATGAGTGGTGGGTTTTTTTTTTAAAGTTTCCATTTAGATGACATGTTTAAATTTTTCTCGAGCGGCATTGAAAGTTGCCAATAAAACAATAGAAGAATTTAATATTTTAATCACGGAGTTGTGTCTTATCTATCTCTGCTGTCTTCTTGTGGTTCGTTGGGAATCTTGTAACCTGGGCTTTCCAGACTTATTTCTCAGTCTCTTCTCTTCATCTTCATGGGTGTGGGTGTGTGTATAGAATGACCAAGGTCTTGGTCTGGATTCAAGTCACCTTATCTGATTCTAAAGCGCCTGTAGGCCAGACAAGGAATAACTGATGGAAACTCAACAAGGAGAGATTTAAGGAGAAACTTTCTGACAGAACAATCAACCAATGGGACAGCTTGCCCTCGGAAGTTGTGGGAGCGCCATCACTTGAGACTTTCAAGAAGAGATTGGACTGCCATTTGTCAGAAATGGGTGTAGGGTCTCCTGCTTGGGTTGGGGGTTGGACTAGATGACCTATAAGGTCCCTTCCAACTCTGATTATCTGTTATCTGTCAAATCTGTTATCTGATTGTTGCCTTCATAAATGATCTTACCTCTACCTTCCAAAGTCATCCTCTATAAAATTTAAACAGGACAGGAAAAAGATGACTGTGGCTCCTGGATTTATTTCTTATAATAGTGATGAAGGTAGATGGAGGTGGGCTAAGAATGGATACCTCAGCAAACGTCTGGATTCCTGGTATATTCTTTGCAGCTTCTGGCCAGATCCAGGCCAAATTAACCCTGTACTACAAAGAAAAGACCTGCTTTCCACTTTAAAGCCAGCTACCTGTTAGGAATATGGGTTCTAATCCTCCTAATTCTTCAAGGTGCACTTTCACCACTTTCAAGTCCTTTTGAAAATTTCAAAGCCTACCTTGCTGCCAACTTAGCATTCTGTATCTGTTCAATAATTAGATGGTTCCATAATTGGACATTCAACCAATGATCCTCACTTCACGTGCTTCATGTTCTGTACTACAGCAGCCCCCCAAGCTTTTAGGTACTAGGGACTGGTTCCAAGGAGAGAGGCTTTTCCGTGCACCGTAGGGGTCATGGATTCACACATTGCTTGCATCCCACGGATGAGGCTTCATTTGTTTGCACAGCCCAGTTCCTGGTATGCCATGGACCAGAGGTTGGGAGCTTCTGCTGTATTAAATCTAAGCAGTCACTGTGATGGGAGGTTGAAGCCAACAAGACCATTTTTCTCTGCATAAAGGATTGGTGAAATCCTAGCTATTTGATAGCCACTGAACCTTCCAGTGATAGTGGTGGTGGTGGAGGGAATATCTCGAAACAAAGGCAAGCAGAAGTTCCTTTTCAGTGAAGTGTTCCTTCTCAAGAGCTCCAACATTCCTACTGCACAAAAAATCCATTACAGAAAAGTCCATTCAATCATCAAGTTTAGATAATGGCATAGGAATGGGCAAAAGCTGAACTGGTAAGAGCAGCATAAACAGCATGCAGAAGCAGCCTCCCGTTCCAAGCAACAAGATAAAATCAGAAATGGACTACTTCAAAAATATATCAATAAAGAATAAAACTGCAATTTTAGGAATCTCTGCAAAATGTGATGGCCTCCCAAGATAAGACTTTGCAAAGAAAAATGACCAATCTATATGCTATTCCTAAATGCTAGTTGCTTGGGAACAGCAGCAGAGAGGCATTGGTGACCTCTCTTTTTCTTATGGGCCACAGACTGTTGGTCTCTTTATTCTTTTACAAGTTTATAATTTTGATAAATCTTTCAACTTTAAAGTAAATACAGTTTTCTCAAGACTTTAAAACCAACATTTATTATTTCATATTTTTGTGTAAATGAAGTAAAACATGATTCATGAAAATCTGTGCAATTCATAAATTTGTTTCCAATGTAACATACTTTTCTTTGGCTTAAGGTAGACTCCTTCTGGAAAGTATAAAGTGAGTGTATACTGCTTTTAAAAAATCATTACGTTTGAGCCACAAATAATAATATAATATTGTACTTTATTGTACTATTTTGGGTAAAATGCAATGTATAAAACATATTTTATTTAAAGTAACATGCAATGTATATATAATATAACATTACCAGAATGTTATAGGAGGTTATTAGCTTTATTATACAATTTAGCATGCTTTTTAAAAACTACTAATAACACTAAGAATTTATATCATTGTTATTTATATCACTGTTTTGTGATCAAAACTACTGGAGGAAAAAAACGGGACCAGGTATATGTCAATCACAAAGTAATTCATACAATTCCCCAAACTTAATTTTACTAGTATGTATCATGGCAATTTAGCTTTATCTTACTGAGCCAGTCAACAGAATTCTTTTTATTTCTGAAATAATTAGATTATTGCAAATGACCAGTAAGCTACTGGTAAGTATATAACTGCTGACTATTACCATACAAATGCTGTATTAATCTGTAAGGTAATAAATAATTCTTGTTTCATTAATTCAATAATTCAGTTATGTTAAGGTCATAAATATGGGCCATTAAATTGTGAATGGGCCCCCACAATCAGAAAGCAGAATAATAGATGATGAATGCTGAACACTAAATTAAACTCATATTCACATGAAACTATGTAAGATTGCTTTGGATGAATTTTTGCCATTAATCTGCAGCAATATTATGGATGGAACTAGAACAAAGTATCAAAAGCAACAAATACAGCTTTAGTCCAGTCTTAGGAAACTATTGTATAAAAGAGATACTGAGAGGGATATCATCACACATTGCATTAACAATTTAAGAGTAGCTGCTGTTATTTATTTGGCTTTTGTTATCTAGATTGTGTTGCTTGGGTAACCTTACTTGTGCTTTTTCTGCCTTTTCTATTAGTATACATAGTCCTCGACTAATGACCACAATTGACTCCAAAATTTCTGTTGTTAAGCAAGACAGTTGTTAAATGAGTTTTGCCCCATTTCACAAGCTTGCTTGCCACAGTTAAGCGAATCACTGCACTCGTTAAGTTAGTAATGTGTTTGCTAAGCAAATCTTGCTTCCCTATTGATTTTGCTTGTCAGAAAGTCACAAAAGGTGATCATGTGACCCCTGGACAATGGAACTGTCATAAATATGAGACAGTTGCCAAGTGTCTGAATTTTGATCATGTGGCCATGGGGATGCTGCAACGGGGTTGGTGTGAAAAACAGTCAGATGTAAATTTTTTCAGTTTTAATTCAATGTCTGTATATGAAGATTAAGTTCCAAAAGAAAGAAAAAACACAAGTAAGGTCAGCTAAGGCATACCAGAGGTATGACTATGAATCATATACTGTTCTTATGTTTTATGAGGGCTGCCCAGTGTTGCATTTGACTCCATGAGATGGAGGTTCCTGAAAACATACATACATACATACATACATACATACATACATACATACATATATATATTGACTACAAATTCTTGAGATGGTCTTAGGGAAGCAACTTTTCACAGCTTTGTCCTCATCTGAATGAAAATCTAAAGTATATGAAATGCCTATCATTAAAATATAATGTATAAATTGTATGATCTGTTTTTTCTAATGATTAGTTAAGGCAACTCACTACTATACTGTTCCAGCATCTATCAAAATAGCTACAATATGCAGATGAAGTACAATTAATAGTATTACATGGAGCAAAAAGGAGGAAATGACACATGGATTCTTCTCTTGCATCGAGAAGTAGACTTTCTGAAATAAAGGTCTGGAACGCTCTTTTTTGAGCTAATACAGAGATTTCTTAGAAATAACTTCTTGAATTCTGAATGGTGCATAATTAAGAATATGGTGGTTTTAAAATTCCTGGCAATAAGGTGTAGTGGCAATAAATAGAAAGCAGACTTTAATTAATCATCTAGTCTGGATGATGCAATAATGGTGTTTCTTACATTTTATAAACTAGGAGTAAAACCTGCAAGTAAAATAAGGACTCTGCCTTGGGCAGAATGTTGGACTAAAAGACCCCCAAAATCCTTTCCAGCCATATGATTCTATAAGGGATTCGAGAGGCCTGTAGAAACCTAATGTCCATTTCTCTCAGTCCTGCAAAATGTATTTTCTTCAATGTGTTCCTATTTCTACTGTCTTCTTTCTTTCCATCCATTCTCTTCTCACCTCTGCAATTTCCTGACCGTACCAATTATGCAACTTTGAGAAGCAGGTAGTCTCTGGAGATACTGGACTTTCCTGTGTGGCAGAGGCAGACCCAGCCAAAAATGTTCCACCTATAGCATTGCCTGTCAGTTTTCTACGAGGAGGTAAAGGTGGGGGCTTCAGAAGTCCTCCACTGAGATCAGAACATGCCATTTCTGCAAGAGTGCAACTATTGTCCCATGTGGAGTAACCGTTCTCCAAGATGACAGGATGCTCTTGAATGGATATCATCATGGGATTTGATAAATGCCTTTTGCGGCCAGAAGACAGTTTCTTTGGTGATTTATGGCTAGCAGCTAAGCTCCTCTGAGCCTCTTCGAGCTGCTTCTCTAGTTCCTTGACTACTAGCCTCATATAATCAAAGCTGGCCCGTGAAAGTGCCTTCACCCAAGCCTCCATGGCAACTTGGCAGTCTGCAACCAACACATAAGATTTGCCACCACTGCTATCGAAGCGGATGGCAAAAGCAAATTCCTCAGCAGCCTCGCATAGTTCCACAGTGCAGCCCTCTAACACAATGAGACCCAGGGGGTCACAGCTCTCCCGCTCTTCAAAGTAGAACAGCAAGTTGCCCTTGAGAATGAACCAGCGGCGCTGGTAAGAGGGGACATGATGGTTGTGGTGATGGCGCTCCATACGCTTGCACAGAAAGCCAGTATGATCGGCTGGCGAGTCACATCTGGCGTAATGTACCACGCTACGTTCATTGAGTTTCATTGTAGTAATATCTGCCTTCCAGAACAAAGAAATGTACTGAATTATCACATGATTATTAACCCAGATAAAACTGAATATAGCATTATGCATACACATATGCACTACTGCTATAAAATACTGATACAATACATTTGGGGTGATTATAGGGAGATGGTAATGACAACCATGCAGGCAAAGGCATGACTTTTTATGTACACTCCAAACATGATCTATTTAAAAGAGGCAGGGCTTGAATCATGTCATCATGCACACCACTTTTTATACCCCATTTCCAGTGGATGCTCCTGTCTGCTATTTAACCTTCCTTTTCTAAGGATCTTATTGTGGATATTTATAAAGTAACAAACTCTATGGAGCTAGACCATATAAGCTCTGGTGCTAAAATAATACAAAGAGATTCTCTCATTGCATTGTTTGATAACATGAAAAATTCTTGTTCATCTTTGTAAGTTGGTTATAGACTACATTTATTTGCAAACAAATTGCTACCTGCAGTGTAAATGACCATGGATTTTCATTACCAGTTTGGGATCCCCCAGATCCAAGAATTGGAGTGTTTCCATCTTTGGTCCTGGGATGGGTTGGCATTGTCACATTCAGACTAGGTATGTAATCTCAAGGTTTTCTTGGACTCATAGATTCTGAAAATGTGAGTTGTGTCTATTCCGGGACTATGAAGCCCTGGTCATTCATGGTCATTCATACCTTAATAACCTCATGATTAGATTCTGTAATACATTTTACATGGGGTACTTTGAAGATCATCTGGAAGCTTAATTGAGAATGCAGCAATAGACATTGGGGCACAGCTTGTTGCGCCCATGTAAAACTGCTATTTCATGAACTGCACAGGTACCCAATAGGCTTCTGGGTGATATTCAAGGTGCTGGTTATCACGGGAGTCCCCAATCCCTGGTATTAGACTGTGACCTGTTAGGAACCAGGGCGCACAGCTGGAAATGAGCAGCAGGGACATGATCTCTTTTCCAGGTCCATGGAAAAATGGTCTTCCGTGAAATCGGTCCCTGGTGCCAAGAAGATTGGGGACCACTAGGTTATCACTTTTAATGTCCTACATGGAATACCAGGTTACCTGTGGGACCGTTTTCTCCCACAAACATCTGCCTGCCCCTATGCTCCCATTGGGAAGACATACTCCAAGTACATCTTACTCCTCCTACTCTTTTAAAATTTACTATCTTGTAGAAAGCAGGGAAGCATGTCTTTTTGGTGGTTTCCTTCTATGCTCTCCCTCTCAATATATGGCAGGCCCAAACTCTTTAAGACCTGTCTTTATCCTTGGATATTTGGATCCAGCAGCACCCCCTTTTGATTGCTTTTTATAACAGTATTGGGCTTGATTACCATTTTATATCTAAGATTTAAAAGAAACCAATTAGAAAAAATTGGACTCGGCTATTGCTCAAATCAGAATGCCAATGAAACACAATGCCCAAGGAATAGCTGGGAGAGGGATGCCCACACCAGTCTAAAGTGGCCAATAAGTGCCAGGCTGATCTCATTCCTGGCTACACCACAAAGGAACAATTGGTGAAACATGTGGGGTTCTATCTTTTTGTGTCAGGAAAAAAACGTAAATGCTAATGGTAAGGATCCCCTAAGGCAGTCTGAGATATGAACTGGGAATCAAATGAAGGCACCATCCCGAGGATCCAAAAGAAGTTGTTGCAGTTATATACTTATATATACACAGCACAAGCTCCAAGTATAAAGTGCCACTTTGTTGTAAGCAAGAGGCTGCAAGTTTAATTCCTGGCATCTCCTGGTAAAGATAGGAGGATGAACGGAAACCCTGGCTCTAAAACAGCCCTCACTAACTCGGGCTGACTGTTCAGATAAGTGGAGGCTGTATTTCAGATAAATAAATTTCCCAAATAACAGGGGAAGGCCAAATAGATGGTTTCTCCAGCAGAGTCATGGAGTGCACTTCCTCATCTTAGGCAGACCCAGAGCAGTCAGAGACTAAAAGTTACCCCCGGAATTCCCCCCCCCCCCCACGCCGCCTTTTCTCTCGGATAGAAAACCCTTTTCACAACTTTTAAATGACAGAAGAAAAGGCAGGCTTAGTTCAGGAATGTGTGGAAGCGGAGTGAAGAGGAACCTGCGTATTAACGGAATCGGAAACATTTTTTAAATATAGGGACAGGCCTATCCTAAAAAGCTGAAGCGACGCTTATCCATAATCGTACCTTGTTCACACTACTACCGAGGACGACGTTACCTTCGGCTTTAACTGCTTTTTCTTAAGCCCTGGCGTGTCCTCCTTTCCTCTGCTGGCCCCCCTGTTACGGCGCCCTGCTCCTCGGGCAAAACCCGGAGCGTAGGAGCATTAGAGCAGAAGCAAATCCTGCCACTATCCGGGGGGAGTTTTTTCGCAATCCAGATTTTCCAATAGCTTCCCGAAGGGAGGTTTCCCTCTTTTTAGCCCCCCCTTCTCTTGGGGTCCTGAAAGCCAAGTAGGAAAGAAGCAGGCCGTTCGTCAACAAGTAAAGGCTGCTCCATCGTTTTTCTCTCCTGCGCGGTGGTATCGCTTTTCCTTTAACATAAATTGGGTGGGGTAATATCCATCTCAGCCGAAGTTTTCTCTTCCCAGTCCGAAGAATGTTGCTTTTATTTGGAGAACCTGTATTTGAGACATAAGTGAAGTTTTGCTTTTGATTTTTCTATGTACTCTCACTTTTCCTCCAAAAACACACATGGTCATGGATATATAGTCCCTCCCTCTCCCATTTTGTTTTTCCGACAATACGGATCGGTTGGGAGGCGATTTCAAGTCACCTGCGAGATTGGTCACTGACTGGCATTTGAATTTCGTCTTCTCCAGTCCTGGCCCAACCTCCCCCTAGAGTGTAACTCCTTGTCTACCTCAAAGCATCACCTGAAAGAGGCGAGGGGTAACTCTCCGCTGTGACTACTCGAGTCCTACCGTTTTACGCGTGGCGAACCCCAGCGTTCTTTTAAATGTGTTGGTTTTATTTTCGGCCGCGAGAGGGCATCGCGAGGCCACGAGTACATCTTGAACCAGACGGAAGTCAGGGAAACAAACAGGATCCGCAAGCAATTGCTAGGGGGTGGATTGCTTAGCTGGGCGTCGTGGGTCGGCCCTATATTTGAAGAACGCTCTCAGTGTGGGCTGGCTCTGGAGAATACACGCTAGAAATGTTAATCAAATCGACTTTCTGGTCCCGAGGATGATCGTTAATAAACAAAAGGTCTTGCGTACCTGTTCAGAAGAGTGAAGTACAGTTGCTGCAGAGGGATTTGAAAAAGAAGATTTGAAAAAAGGGGACTGAAATTAGGCGTTGCTCTTTTTGTTTCTTCTCGGCCTCTCCTTCCAATATCTGGAATGAACTCATTAAAAACAAGGAAGAGAACCTGTAATGGCCCAAGAAATTCTGCAACACAAGATTAGTTTTACTTTATTGTCATTGCACCTCATACAGTGAAATTAAATACCATCTTCAGCGTACATTATGATTATGAAAATAAATACAAGCACATCATTCACATTTTATACATTGAATTGAAAACCCCTGATATTGCATTAATACTGCACTATACAGTAGAATTCAATAAAGTTACTGCCCTGGGATAGAAGCTGTTTTACAGCCTATTTGTCCTTGTTTTTATTATCTTGTACCGTTTGCCAGATGGTAATAGTTCATAAAAAGGGTGCCCAGGATGAGACGGATCTTTGAGAATGTTTTGAACTTCTTAAGGCAGCAGGAGCTTTAAAGCTCTTCCAAAACAGGGAGAGGGAAACCAGTGATCCTCTGGGCAATGATGTTAACCCTCTGGAGTGCTTTCCTATCTGCCACGGCAATTGGCAAACCATACACAGGTGCAGTAAGTTAAAATACTCTCTATGGTAGCCCCCTTTCACTCCCACCCTTCCTATTCCACAGAGAAGCTCCAGTGCCTTAAAATAGGATTTGTTTCCATGGATGGCAGCAGATTAATCTGTGGATACAACATAAGCTATGTGTTCTGTCTTGTTGTAAGACATTGTTTGATTCTCTTGCGGCTCTGGAGTTGAAATCCACAAGTTTTAAAGTTGCCAAGTTTGGAGACCCCTGGCATAAGGTCATATATTACTAGAAAGGGGGAGAGGATGGGTGAGTTTAAAACAGTTCAGAGTAAAGGGACAAAAGAGATCTGAAGAGTTGCTTCCCTGGGTTCTGTAACTAACCTGTCTCCACTGTATATTCACACCTGCATCTCTGGTTCCATGCTATACTATAAGGCATAGACATAAAAGCAACCTTAAACCATTTTTACTGGTTTGCTTTGTAAACCTTGGACCACTTCAGCTCATAAATGGGCCACCAGAAGAATGTCCTGTATTGTGATGAGACATCCAAGCAAATTATTCCACTTACAACTTTTGAGGCAAGGCACTCCTAATGTCCCTTCCATCCATTAGATCAGTAGTTCCCAAACTTTTTTGGTCCACCGCCCCCTTGGTGCTACAAACTCATCCTCGGTGCCCCCCACCCAGGGGTGGGATTCAAATTTCTGTGGGTGTGGCCTAATTTGAGGATGTGGTTTGCTGGTCACATGACTGGGTGGGCGTGGCTTGCTGGTCTTGTGCCTGGGTGGGCGTGGCCAGGTGACTGGCAAACCAAATACAAGTGGTCCTCACTTAATGACCGGTTGTTTAGCAAGTGTTCTAATTTATGACTGGCCTCTCCTGAGCTACTTGACCAGGTTTTGGAGTTTTGACAGCTTTAGATCAGGGGTCTAAATCCCACCCCTGCCTGTGTGTGTGAAAGAGAGGGAGAGAGAGAGAGAGGTTGGATCAGATCTCTCTCTCTCTCTCCCACCAATGCCAGAATGCCACCATCAGTCAAAATTCATATTAGTGGTCTCCGGGATTTAAAATTATGAGCTTGGTGGTCCCTGAGGTCCAAAAGTTTGGCGACCCCTGATCCACAGGGATGAGCCTGAGAGAGGGAAAGAGAGAGAGAAAAGAGAGAAAGAGGAAGAAAATAAAGAGAAAAAAAGAAAAAGGGACAAAGAAAGAGGAGGGGGGTGGAAGGAAGGGACAGAAAGAAAAAGAAATAAAGGAGGGAGGGAGGAGAAAGATGAGATATCTATTCTAGTCTAATCACCTGCTTCAGCAGGGTTAGAAGGGAGTGTGTGTGTGTGTGTGTGTGTGTGTGTGTTCTCCTTGTAATTTACCAGTACATTTTGGTTTTGCCTTCTTCAGAATTGGCACTATAATACATTGGGGCAAAGTAATTTTTAGGGTGGAGATCTGGTCCAATGGATCCTGTTTAAAGCCTCAACAAAATGTGAGAGCTTCCTGATAGTCTTGACCATGTTTCGTCCACAAAACCTTTAATAGAAGCCAAAGAGGTTTCAGTGTGCTGGCAAAGATGTTTCAATGTGGAAAAGGGCCTCGGTCTAAACTAGGCCTCATTTCAATCTGATGCATAGAGACCTTATGCAGGGCCAGTCTCTCTCTCTCTCTCTCTCTCTCTCTCCTTCCCTCCCTGCCTCCCTCCCTCCTTCCCTCCCTCCCTCTCAGACTGGCTTTGCTCTACTTTCCCGATGTGCCTGCGGGGCCACCGCTTCGAGCATGGATGGATGGATGGATAGAGAAAGAGAGAGAGAAGCAGGCAGGCAGATAGATATATTGGTAGGTAGGTAGTTAGGTAGACAGAAAGACAGGTAGGCAGGAAGGCAGGCAGGCAAACAGACAGACCTTTTGGATGGATGGACGGACGGACGGACGGACAGACAGAATGCGACAGAGGCGGCACTTTGGGAAAGCGGTGGCAGCAGCTTTTCCCAACATGCTGCCGCATTCGAGGCACTGGTTCTGGAGCATTACTGCAGTCAATGGGTGAACCTGCAGGGCCGGCACCTTGAACACCCCCCTGCTGCCTCTTAGCACCCTTCTGCTGGCCTCCTTGGGGATACTAAGAGGCGGCAGGGGGGCGTTTGAGGCACTGGCACTGCAGGTTCACCCATTGACTGTAGCACCGCTCCGGAGCCGGCGCCTCAATGGGTGAACCTATAGGGCCAGCTGGCGCCTCAAAAGGCCCCCTGCTACCTCTTAGCGCCCCCCTGCCAGCCCCCTTGCCTCTTAGTGCCCCCCTAAGGCATCCCACCGCCCCCCAGGGGGCAGTACTGCCCACTTTGGGAACCACTGCATTAGATCAAAAGTTTCCAAACTTGGCAACTCTGGGACTTGAGGACTTCAACTTCCAGAATTCCTCAGCCAGCCATGCTGTCTGGGGAATTCTGGGAGTTGAAGTCCACAAGTCTTAAAGTTGCCAAGTTTGGAGACCCCTGCATTAGATTCATAAACAGGGGATGCCTCTATGCTAAGGGACATGGAAGGGACGGCACTACTCTGAACCTTGGACGATCCAAAGCCTCTCTGGGAGAAACGGTGCAGGAACTTAAGTTCCGTCTAAGTGCCGAGTGAAAAGGGCTGAGCTCAAACGACGGTCGCGTACATGTGACACAGGGAGCATCTGCTTCCTCTTTCTCTCGGGACAAAAGCGAGGGCGGTGGTGGAGTTGACAAGAGCGCTGAGATCAGCACCTTAGCGTCAGTCCTCTGTCTGGAGCAATCCAAGGGATCAGCTGATCGGAGGAAGGAAGCGAGCACGTGATTAGCTGCCCCGTGCAGGAAAGCGACCGACTTGCAGGCTTTCGGTGGTGGCTGATGCAGTGCTGGTTGCCGTCTTAATGCCTGATAGCGTAAGTGTCCCGATGTGTCTTTGGGTGGCTGACATACGTGAACGGTCGGGATGGGGAACAGTCTTTTTCTTTGTCTGATCAAAGATCGCATTATATGCAAATGAACAGAAAAACGAATAATTGTTCCAGAGTACCTGCTGCTGATGGTTACAGGTACAGATCTGAATTAATTTAGGCCGTTTGCACCATCAATGAAATATGTTTTCATTAAATAATAAATACCGAATTTACACATTTCCCCATTGTTTTGATGCACCCGGATGGTTGCTTTGCAGATGCGGAAACTGGCTTGCAGCAGCCACGGGGCAAGGAAAGTGGGGGAGGGAGGATGGGTTCCTGGGAATTTCATGGCCACAGCCATAGATTTGGCAACAGTTTGCAAAAAGTTCTCTGTTGACTTCCTTCATGATTTTTTTTAACTTTCAGGTTAGCCCACCTTTATGGTTTCCCATTCAGATACTAACCAGGTGCAGCTGGGCCAGGTGCTGCAATTCTGTTTCATTCCAAACAAGAACAGTGTGTGTAAGGCAACTTATTGCCAATTTGGAAGCTGAACCAGGCGTTGTTCTTATGCCTGATTCTGCATCTGCACATCCCAGAAAGGTTCATATGAAGCTACTTAAAGCTGAGTACATCAGATTTATCTTAGTGAAAACTTATCACATGGTTGAAAGTGGCTCTGCAAAGACCTTGCAAAAATATCCTCTAGCTGAGCTGTCTGAGATTCCTTCCTTGTGGATATCAGTCAGATAAGCAGGTGTGGAGCTTTGCTGGCGGAGGAATTCTGGGAGTGGAAGTCCACAAGTCTTAAAGTTGCCAAGGTTGGAGACCCCTGAGATGGTGAACCTGGGAATTGATATATGCTAATTATCCTGCCACAAGCCAACTTTCCTTACTTGATGCTCTTCAAAGTGCCAGGCTGCGTCATTTCATGAACTGCACAGAGATGTACAGGAATTTAGTGAACCTGTGGATTCAACATCTTTATGAATGTGTAGTGTAATAGATGCTAGATAGGAGTGCTGTGCCTGTAATTTTGCTTCCATCACTGTGTGTGCTTCAGGATCCTGCTCTGAACAGCAACATGTGTCCCAGAATGCAACACTGGGAGCTTGTGTGTGTTGTGGGTGAAACAGGGAAGGGTAAGTGGAATCCAGAGTCAGTTTCTTTTTCAATTGTTGTCATACAAGTTTGCCAAATTCCTCCTGCAAATTGGGTGGATCATTCTCAGATACTTAAGACACAAATAAGAGTGATAAAGAGCACGTGGCTTACAGATAAGATCGCCAAAGAGTAGAGCATTGCGCTGATGGCAACTGGTGACATTATAGTATGAAATGAAACAATACTGGCTGAGGGACTGCTTTAGGAAGTAAATTTAGACAGAGCCAGCATGGGATGGTTGGTAGATGAATGTGATTTTCTACCACAGGGCTGTAGTTTATTGTTTGAAAAAGTTTTTTTATTGTATTGTGTTTGCATTTTGTTTGCTGCCCAGAGTTATTTTGCATAGGTACCGATATACATTTCTTTAACAAATAAATTTGGGAAATATCAACAGTGCTCTTAAAATCAGTGATAGAATTTTAAATAATATGCAGGTGAGAATCAATTTGGTATAGTGGTTAAAGCACCAGGCTAGAAACCAGGCTGTGAGTTGTAATCTGACTTTAGGCACGAAGGCAGCTGGATGACCCTGGGCCAGTTACTGTCTCTTAGCCCTAAAAAAAAGGCAATGGCAAAATATTTCCAAAATTTTTGCCAAGAAAATTGCAGGCACTAGACCAGACAGTTACCAAAATCAAAATTCACTCAAAGGAAAGGAAAAAGAGCAAGGACTTAATGACAACTTATAAAATTTTATCTTGGTAATATGCATGTTTAATTGTGTAAGGTGTTCGGTTGTTCTGAAGATGATAGCCATAGTTTCCAGGTTCAAAGCAAAAAGGTAACTAATTGAAGATTTCAACAGTTCACTGTTGCACATAGTGAAAGAAAGAAAAAAAGGAAACATAATGAAGTGGGAGGCGGAACTGAAAGTTTATAAATATTTAACCTCATTAGATATGGTTGAAGAAGCCATTGGAGCAGAATGGAAACAGTAGAAAGTGATATTTCATGATGTTTCCTTCCCCCTCTCCCCACCTCTTTTGCAGTGGTCATCCCTCAAATCCATGGTCATGAAGTGTGTTATTATCTTCCTTCTTCTACTCCATGCCTTCTCCTTGGCTTTGGAGAATGGACTTATGAGAACGCCCCCAATGGGGTGGCTTGCTTGGGAGCGCTTTCGTTGTAATGTTGATTGCAAGGCAGATCCCCATAATTGTATCAGGTAAGTGGAAGAACCTTGGAAGAGGTACAAAATCCAAATCTTTTTCCAGATATGTTTCTGAGTTTCAGAATCCTGGCATTCAAGATGAGGGATGGCATCAAACGTAGAAAATCTGAAGCTCCAGGGCAACATCTGCCTCCCCTAAAAGCCTTCATGCTTCTCTGAATGTGGTTGCCAAAGTGTAGTTTAATTTTCTCATTGTGCGTGGTTGAGAAAAGAGTGCTGAATCATTTTGCTATATCCAAATATTAATGAAAGTATATGAGGAAATCACTAATTAATTTACCTTGTACCCCAGTATACAAACATGTAGCTGTTTGACATGAACCAATAAAAGAGCCAAGCCTACAAGCTTTTAGTTTATTCTCAAGGTGACATGGGTTGCATGAGGCATGTTTTTAAGAAAACAGAAGGATCCTGTCCTTAAGGAAGAACATTGATAAAAACATAATACCATGAAAATCTCTATTTTAATTTTACTTCCAGATTATTGTAGCAAAACATTAAGTATGAAAGAGTGATAGTGGGGACCTGACAGAGAAACGAACCTTTTAATCTATTGTAGAGAGTAAACTGTTGCATGACTGTGGCAGGTTATGTCAGTGCAGTGTGAAGCCTGACTTTGTCAGAACCGTAATTTTTATGCCTGATAGTTCCCAGTATCTATTTCACATTGGCCATTTGGCTTGTTGTTCTTGTTTCCGATAAACTGCTTTTCCATTTGTGGGAAAACAGTGAGACTCTCTTCATGGAAATGGCGGACCGTCTGGCAATGGATGGTTGGAGGGAGCTGGGCTACGAGTACGTGAATATTGATGATTGCTGGATGGCAACGAAGCGGAATATGATGGGACATCTGATTCCAGATCCTGAGAGGTTTCCCAGAGGGATCAAAGCCTTGGCAGATTATGTAAGTGAATACTTCTGATGTGAGAGAGAGATCAAACGATCCAGCTGTGGTTTTTTAAAAAGATCAAATGCTTAGCCAACAGTAGAGAAATTCCAGAGGAACTTTGTGAATTCTCCAAAAGATCAAAGGCTTCCTTCTTAATTGCTGTAGAAGATTATTCAGGTCTGGCCAATTTACAGCCATAGACCTGGACTTGTATAGTAAGTTGAGCTGAGTGAAAGTATTTTTGCTCAAAGTTATCCAAGGAGGAACATCTAGAAGTGTCGAAGTCACATCATCATGGAGTCATCACGTGATGTATTGGGACTTTTTGCCCCTTTGCTAAACCGGCTGTGGCTGTGGCCAGTACATGACACATCCAGCCCACAGGCTGGCAGTTTGATAGCCCTGATCTAGAGGGTCATATTGCTGGACAACTCTGCATCTAAGCCACCAGATTATTCTGCCAATTCAAACTCTATGTTTTCAAACATAGTCTTTGGCAATGGATATTTTTGAAAAGCTCATCAGTTTTCTATTGTGTCCAGCTTGGTACCCTCCAGATATTCAGACCTTCAGTACTCCTAACACATTTCCAACAAAGGGAATGGCTGTGCTGAATAAGGATGATAGGATTTAAACTCAACATATCTGAAAAGGATTAGATTGGAAAAGGAAGGGTTGGCCACTGAGTAAGAAGCAATAATGAAACATACCTTTTAAATTTTTTCTGTTATCTTATGCAACGATGGGCAGAAGCATAATTTGAACTGGCTGCTCAGTCAGCGGAAATGTTTGTATTCTTATAAAATGGGGAAAATGCTGCTACATACTGAATATTGCTGGATCAGTGTTCTATCTAGTTCATATTTGTATCTTGCCATTGGTGAAAACTTTTACAAATTTACATACCGCAGAATAAGAGTTCATCCTTGGGGAGTTTGTTTGGGTAACTAGTTATTCATAGTTTTAACAACCTACACATTAGGTAACCACTCCTCCAGTAACCAATTTCAATTTAAACCAACATTGTTGAGATAATCTGCAAATAAGGAGGAAGAGGAGGAGATGAGCTTTTGAGGAAGTGATTAAAAAAAGATGTTCACCAATACCAACAATAACCATTTTTCTACTATTTCCTCAAATGTACAGATTCTTCATGGGTCTTGATCTCACAAGTCATGACATATTTTGGCAGGTTCATTCACGGGGTCTGAAACTTGGCATTTATGGTGATCTAGGCACCCATACTTGTGCCGGTTATCCGGGTACTACATTAAATTGTATTGAACAAGATGCTTTAACGTTTGCACAATGGGGAGTGGACATGCTGAAATTAGATGGTTGCTACTCATCATCAGATGAACAGGCCCAAGGTAAAGTCGAAGGCTTTAGCATGCCTCTGTTTTGCTTCTTTTGTCAGTGCACCAAAAGTTGCTAAAATAATAGATTTTAATTGGCTTTGTTTAAGGTGTCAAATATAGACTTGGGATATGAATTATATTAAGCATCAACCAACTAAAATAATTTGCTTTAAATAAATTCTGATTTTAATTCAGATGGATAATTATTCTTGTTTTCCAAAGGTTATCCTAGAATGTCCAAGGCTCTGAATGCAACAGGTCATCCCATTGCCTATTCCTGCAGCTGGCCAGCTTATCGAGGGGGACTCCCACCTGCAGTGAGTTGTATTTGAGGAAGGACGGGGCTGATGTTAAAGTTTCTGTCCCTTGAACATCTTCCGAATTTTAAATGAAGGTTTTGCATCACACTTGACCAATTTGGTGCAACACGGGATCCATTAATGCACTCATTTAATTTGCAAGAGACACGTTTCTTTAATCTTGTATTGAGGTCTAGCATCAATCCACCTAGATCTGTTGGCACAATGTTTTAGTTGGCTGAAGTAGTAATTTTTTTAATTAACAAGCTTATTACTACCTGTAGTACTACATAATAATATAGTGCTATTGGATGTTACGTATTTTGTTAATCATTAGTGATGCAATGATACTGTAATTATGATTGATAGTTATTCTGTTAACACATCCTTTGTGGAGTTCTATCCATCTTTCTTTGCTGTGGTGACACAACTGTGTTGCTTTAGTTGGATAACAAAATAATTATAGCAAATCGTTTAACTTAGGCTTTCTTCTTTCCAATATATACAGTATTTCCCCATATATTAAATACATCCAGAGTAGCCAAAATGATGTAAACTAATGATCATTTCCAAAAGATAAATCATGCCAAGCTTTAATTATTCTGTTTCGTGCATTTGTTTTGCTTTAGGTGAACTATACACTTTTAGCAAATATATGTAACCTCTGGAGAAACTTCGATGACATACAAGACTCTTGGGAAAGTGTCCTCTCTATTGTGGAATGGTTCTCAAAGAATCAGGACATACTTCAGCCAGCAGCTGGCCCTGGCCATTGGAATGACCCTGACATGGTAATGTTGAGCTGAAGAGGATAATATGAAAGCTAAGTGGATGAGAGAGACTCTCTTTGGAATGCTAAAGCTATAAAAAAAACTAATGAAGGTGACTGCTGGCAGGAATTTATATGTTCTTTCATCTGTTTTCAACTCTTGTAAGTAATTTAAGTAGACAAGCCATTTGTGTTACATTCTTAAATTTGCTGTTACATACTCATTATTTTAATCTCAGTGAGTATAACCTATACTAGAAATATCACAGAAAACTTGAATTCTATTAGTAAAATAATTCATACAAATAGGCATAGATTGCTATTTTTTGCAAAAATATGTTACATAGAAAGGATGTACCAGTAGCTATATATTGTACTGATTCAGGTATCCTGCAGTCCTTCGAAAATATGGCTTGTTTTGTTTATGTCTGATTTTTAAAGCTTCATTATCCCCTTCTACCTTCATTAATTTAGTAATTTTTACACCTAATGTTTATATTAGAAAACTGGCATCCCTAGGATGCAGGACTTAATACAGGTAGTCTTTGACTTATAACCACAATTGAGCCCCAAATTTCTGTTGCTAAATGAGATGCTTGTTTAGGGAATTTTGCTCTGTTTTACAACCCTTCTTGCCAGAGTTGTTAAGTGAATCACTGTAGTTGTTAAGTTAATAACACAGTTGTTAAGTAAATCAATCTTTCCCATTGACAGAAGGTCTCAAAAAGTGATCATATGACCCCCAGAACACTTCAACCATCATAAATATGAATTGGTTGCTAAGTGTTCGAATTTTGATCCTGTGACCATGGAGACACCACAATTGTTGTAAGTGTGAAAAATGGTCACAATTCACTTTTTTTCAGTGACATTGTAACTTAGAATGGTCACTAAATGAACTGTTATAAATCAAGGACTACCTGTAGTTATGTCTGTGTTTGCCCAGTGGGATATTGGAATTCATTCAGCCTAGATATTATTTCCTTGGAGAAGGTTAGTCCAATCAGAGGCATTGAGTAAACCTTCCTAGTTATCTAATTTATTTATTATATGGGTAAATCAATTAATAAAAATTAATAATAATAATAAATAAAAAGTCACCAGTGTTCAACAAGAGGTCTCTTGGAATCAGTCCATATGCAGCTCTTGTTTTCTTTTGCTTTCATTCTTGACTTTACTATCCACTGCTGGGTTAACCTATTCTTTGTTCTACAGCTAATAATTGGAAACTTTGGCCTGAGCCTTGAAGAGTCCAAGTCCCAGATGGCCTTATGGACAATTATGGCTGCTCCACTTTTCATGTCCACAGACCTCCGTGTTATTTCTGCAAGTGCCAAGGAGATTCTACAAAACAAACTGATGATTACAATTAACCAAGATCCCCTGGGAATTCAAGGGCGTAGAATCCTTCAGGTAATGAAGACCAAGTGTCTGGAGAGCCTTATGTGAATCCCTGGAACTCAAGAATGTATAGTCCTGCCTTTTGACCCTCTTATGTGGGAAGATCATTAATTATGCCAAGGACATTTATTACTGTACATTCATAACGCTCCTCTCTTCTAAGAAGCTTAGGAGACAATATATCTTTCAGCAATCTGACATACTCCAGATCCATTGTCACGGTGGTTTTCTTAATTTATCTGGAAGGAAGAAGGGTAAGGAAGCCTGTGTGTATGTGGGTTCCTTCCCCATGAGGTTTTTGGCCCAGATTAGAGCACTATGAATTGGGTTAGATTGAGTATGAGCTCCATAACTCATAACAATTTCAGTTGCAGAATAGTCTTTTCCTATATGATGACATCACTATTTCCTGTTTATGTTCTGGGGAAGGTTTCCTTTTTAAAAAAAACTGCTTTTCAATCTGATTTTGTAGGAGAAATCTCAAATTGAAGTATTTCTGCGGCCCCTTTCCCACTCAGCCAGTGCTCTGGTTTTCTTTAGTCGGAGGACAGACATGCCATATCTCTACACAACTTCCCTTGCACAGCTCAATTTTACAGAGAATGTTGTCTATGAAGTAAGTAAAGAGACACCTGAATGTGTAATTTCTCTGCATTGCTGAAAACATTTTAGGGGAGAGGGGATGACAAACTGACAATATCGAATACTACACAGTATTGCTTACTTATATTTGCTCCATGTTATTGAATTTAATATGGCCATACCCTGGCTTTTAAAAATATTCTTTAATAATCAGGCTATTTCCTCAAGTGATAAAACTATACATAGCAAAATAAATCATAAACCCAAAATTCGAGCCCCTCCCCCAACACTATCATTCATTTGTGATGGAGTAACAGGATTATTTAGTATTTTAGAATTGGGATAAAACATTGCTATGGAACAGCTCCTAAAATATATGAGCAGTTCCATAGTAGATGCACATATGATCATTTATCCATTTATCTGCTTTTGTTTTTGCTAGGCACAGGATGTATACACCAGCGAAATAATCAGTGACCTGAAGATTGCTACCAACTTCACAGTGGTGATTAATCCCTCTGGAGTAGTCATGTGGTATCTGTACCCAACAATGAACCTGGAGCAGCCTTCCAACTTCATAAAGCAGCAGGTGAAAGCAAAGAAATTCAGTCCCTTTAATTTGTGACAGGCAGTAGTTGAATAACTTCTTGGAAAACTGCTAAGGATTCACTATTCCCTATTGGTATGCTTGTAGTATCTCAGCATAGGGGAAAAAATGGTTTGTGTAGGATGGCAGTTTTATACATGAATTGAGATCTACCTCTACACACACTGGAGATGCTATTAGTTCACTAGTATGCAATCCAATTAAGTAGACATAAATAAGAATATACACGTGTTCTTATTTATGTAGATTAGATTGCTAATGATGGTCACATGCATTGAGATAATCAACCAGAAGCCAGTTGCTCATTTATAAGCATAAGCATTAGGAAAAAAAACCTCATATTTTGTGTAAGGAAATTCCTATAGGTCACTGAATTATAAATTTCGTGGATTCCAAAATTGAACTGGAATTGTCCATTAATGCACAGAATTTCAAACTATTGCACTATAGATGTTTGCTTGTAATGGAATCTATTATGTCAGTAGTTGAAATAATTGCAAAAGTTCTTTTTGTTACATTCTAGCATTTCTTCTATAGTAGCTTCTCTGGCTGGCTTACTTAATTTTCTAGGATTTTTGTAATTTTTATTCTTTTGTTGTTATTCTTTAGCAACTGTTCTTTTTTCAGCATATGTTCAGATGTTTATATTTTTAAATCAGGTTTTGAATAAAGATTATTTTCAGAAATGATTTGATTAAAAATGAATACAATTCCAAAGTGTCTGCTAATTCTGTGATTTATTTTTTCTTGTACATTTTTCCTGTATCTTTGATGTAACTGAATCCCAGAATTCCCAGCCAAAATATAATCGATCACATCTGGAGATTACCAAAATAAGTTTCCTCAGTTTTATCCATCCCACTATACAATAAGCTAGTTTTAGTACTGTGACAGTATTTATCTAGAAATTATTTAGGTTATTTCTTTTATAGAAGAAAACATGGACAGTGTGCCACTCAATTATATATATATGAAATGGCTCAAAAGACAACACTGAGGCACTGATCATAGCAGCACAAGAACAGGCACTACGCACTAAATCCATAGAAGCATGGATTTACCACACTAGATAAGACTCAATATACGAATTATGCAGAGAGACTTAAGAGGCAATCTTAACACATAATAGCAGGGTATAAGATGCTGGCAGGAACAGCATATACTGAATGAACACAACCAAGTAGCATTGTGTACAGGAATATGTGCCCAGTATATGAACAAGTCCAAATGGGAGATCCTGCAGAAAGTCATGGAGAATAAGATGGCTAAGTTCCTGTAGAACAGTGGTGCCCAACCTTTCAGGTATAGGGACTAGTTTTGTGAAAGGCAATTCTTCCACACATGGAGATGTGGGGGCTTCACATGCAACCTAGATCCCACGCATGTGCAGATGAAGCTTCACTTGCTTGCCTGCCGCTTGTAGGGCACAGTTACAGGCCATGGATCAATACCAGTCCATAAGCCAGGGGTTGGACACTCCTGTTGTAGGATTTTCAGTACTAACCAATCCAGCAGCCATTGAGGTAGTAGATAAGAACCAGAAGATAGCAGTGGTGATAGATGTAGCACTGCCAAGTGATAGTAATAGGAAGGAGTAGGAGAAGCTGGATAGGAATCAGGGCCTGAAGGAGGAGCTAGAAAGGATGTGGAAGGTAAAGGCCAAATGGTCCTAGTCATGGTTGGAACATTAAGGCTTAAAGACTTCACCTGACATGGATCTACAATGAGGACTTCGGGATGTCATTCAGATGGGAGAAGTGTGACTGGATATTAGCCAAGATAGGAAAAATAGTTTCAACTGATGAACTCCCAGTGAGCCACATAACAGGCATACAGTCCAGTTCAGGCACCTGGATATCCCAGTCACATGAGAACCATGAGGAAGAGGCAAGGAAGACAGCAACATCAAAGTAACCCCAAGGATAAGACAGGTTCTGAATAGCCAGGTCAATAGATAGATCCATGCCATCAATATGTATGCCCTGATAATCATTAGATACCCTTCCAGTATAGTGAGCTGGCCAAAGGACATGGAAGCTGCTGGTGTGAATACCTTAAAGACCCTCACAAGTCACAGATGTTTCCACCCCAAGCCCAACATGCAGAAATTGTACGCTAACCAGAAAGAAGGTGGGCAGGGTCTAGTGACTGTCAAAGCTGCTATCCTGGACGAAACTCAGAGCATCCACGAATACACCAGTAAGATGGCACCCAAAGATGAAACTGCTGAGAGAACGCCTAAGCCAGCAGTAGACATGGGAAGATCAAGCAGGAGTGGCAAGACAAGAACTTGCATGGAAAGTACCGTCAACAAATATCTGAGGTGGCAGTTTAATATAGTACATTAATCTTGGCAAGAAACTAAGTCTTGCTAAGTTCTAGGTCACAGCATCTATTTCACTTGATCTCTAAACGTTAACTGGGACTTGATAAGTTTATTTTTGCAGCTTGTAAAACTCGCATATTGCTGACAGTAAAATAGTGCAAACGTGATTGTGCATTTTTTAAATCTTGTGTGCTTTATTTTTTGTGCTCTATATTGTAATTCTACTTTGTAAGTTTCATTTAAGAAGTTTTATTTATGGTCACTGATGTGTAATACAGAATGTGATTTGAATGTACTGTATGTACCAGGATGTAAGCAAAGTTTGAAGCAAGCAAGAACAAACTACTTTTGAATTATTACCAAATAAATTAGTCATAAAGTCATCAGAGGTCAAACTTGTGGAAGACCTTGAGGAATAGATCTTGTTAAGGAGAATTTTCCATACTTTTAAGAAAGGAACTATATCCCCTCCCCGACTGATCTTTGCACAAAAGGATAAGTTATCAACATACCAATGGAGACGCAAATATAAAGGTTTCAATATTTCTGTATTAAAGTGCAACTCAAAAATAATATAAACAGAGTTAACTATTTAGTTATGGAAAACTAAATAGTGTGTTCAGAATGAAGGTATTTGTTAGAAAAAAGTTTATTTCATACTTTTAAACTGAATAATAAACTCATTTACTAAAAGGAAAATAGATGAGTATCCATAATACACCAGTATGCTTGAGTTTTTCTCTGTGAAGTAAAAACCCTAATATCAAGGAAGAAAAAAAAGATGTGCTATATGCAAATTATATTCTCCACTACATTAGTGGAACAATAGTTCTTTTAAGAACAAGTATAAGAGGAATATACATGTATCAAGTAACAGCTTAACATAACCCAGAATATTGGTTGCTTCTTTCCAGCTTGGATAAAAACACTTTTTAGTGTTTAATTACATTTAATTAAATACCATTAAATACCATTTAATTACAAAGCTCTACCAAATATGGTTTCTTACTCAAGTTTGGAGTTTTAATATTTCTTTACACCTCTGGCCTGATGGTGTAGCTAAATCTAGATAGAGGCCTAAACAAAGAGAAACTGCTTCGATATCCATGTCTGTCTTTACCAACATACAGCACTGTAAATTCCCATTTTCTGTAGGAGAAAAAAAGTATTTTCCTTTTAGATATAATATGTAGTACTGTATTAGCTGCTGCTAGTTAGAAAAGAACTGATTTCCAGATCAAAGATGGAGTCCCGTTCTTAGAATAACCAATATCTGGTTTTTTTTTTCTGGATCAGGTACTATGCTGTTTGCTAAATTACATTTTATTTTAGTCCTCTCAGTTATAAAGCCAATCTTTGGTTCCAGTTCACATAAATGGTTTCAATTCTAATTTCCTTTCTGCTGTACGGTTAGGGTAGACAGATAATTTGGCCTAATTGGAGTAAGACTCATTGCCCTACTCTTACACCAGGCAGATGATATTTTAGAGACAGAGACACATAAAAACATTTTAGAGACATAAGCCCTGCAGCCAAACTGAAAGCACAAAAAACTGCTATGCATTCCTTCAGATGTAGATACAGTAAAACTATTTCTACCTGGCATCCTTCTGCAAGGACAAAAAGCCAATACTGCAGAAAGTGAGGTCTTTAAAGCTTGGTTTGATGTGGCAAACCAGAAGGTAGCAACAGTTACCGAGAAGAAAATTGATTAATCTTTTGGATCTCCTCGTCATCCCTTTTTCTTTAGATATCAATTTCTAGGAATCAGTGGAAAGTTTTCTTCCCTTCTACTTTGCGGGAAAGTTAGAAGTCTCTGAAAATTCCCTGATATTTATTAATCTGCAAGGAGTGAAAATACCATGCAGATATTGATGGTATTAAAAATACAGAGATGCAGAAAAACAAAATGCTCCTTCATGAATATCTGTGTCACATTAAAGTGTTTTGTTGTAGTCTACCCTCAAGACAGAAAACATATAAATTATTACTGCCACCACTCTTGTATTGCCATTCTGAAAGTTTAACAGCAGGTGTAACATCATCCAATACTATACATGCTACTGACATAGGATGATCTAGAAATTAAAGAAACCCAAGAGGCAGCAGCAACAGCAAAATCTTCAAAGTCAAGAAACATAAGAAAGTGGTGCTGAGGCTCTTGTTAATTGTTCTTCTTTTCCTCAGGTGGTGCATAAGGGGGTGGCTGATCCTAAAATGAAAATTAGGCACATTTAATTAAATTGGCACATTACTATTAAACATTTGAGTTTTTCTTCTGCCCTGTTATCTCAGCATTCTTAAAATTATTTAATATTAAATCACAGTGTGTAATACATTTCAAAGCAGTCTCATATGTGATCTAACTTCTAAGAAGATGGTCAACTATAATGAAGGACCTCAAGTCCCAAGATTTCATGTTCTTCATACCTTTATAAGGAAAGTTTTGTGACTCAGTAATATGTGGCAAGCCAATGTTATGCAAAGACCCAACTCTCTGAAAAAGGCTCTAAAGTTTGGAGAGGTGGAAAGAGAAGAGGAAAGCCAGCAGAAAGTTCAGCAAATGGACTCAGTTACAAATAGGTATGCCATTGGAAGATTCAAAAGACCAGTTTAGGATCAGATCATGGCAAATATCTATGTGGTTAAGTGCCTTATTGGCACACAATCTGTCAATGTTATTATCACAGGGATGGGATGAGATGGGATAGAAACAGACAGTGAAACATGGCTATAGCTGTTTCATTGTTTTTTAAAGGAGAGGAATAGCCTAAAGTGAATAAATAGACTGTGAGTGTTGTGTGTGTGTGGGTGTAATTTCCTCTAGAATTCAAAGTTTTTCAGTGTTACTATGCTTGTATAGTAGAAAGCAAAAATGCCAGATGCTCTTGGTAAGTTAACATTATATTCAGTGTCACTAGCTGCAAATTTTATTTAATTAAATGCCAGAACAGCAAAAAAAAAAAAAATAGAACTACAAAGCTAAATCTGCT